AAAAAAAAAAAAAAAAATGCTGCCAGTTGCTAATATGGGCCCTTCATCACCAGGTTGGCCCCTGGCTCTCCCAGAAAGACTTGCCTACATACATTTGTTTTGAGACTACTTTGTTCCTCCAGGCTATTTAAAGTTGAATTTTTAGACTTTGTATTATTTCCATAACTTAGCCCCTCTAGTCAGTTTATACATGGGTAAGGAAAGAAAGCAGGAGAGAAAGCAAACAATCATGGAAAGAGAGTTGTTTTTTTAAATGTAAAATAAAGTCCAGTACTTAATAAAATAAATGCATGATTATGTCATGTTTTAATTGTAGAAGTCAGTACTTGTATGACCCAAAGAGCATCCTTGACAAAATGTTAAAATGAAGCTGGCTTCTTCCTGTCATCTAACATCTCTTTCCCTTGCCTATCAGTACAGACTCAGAGAATGCAAACTAATTTTAATGTTAGCCTAAGCCAAATATAAATGTGGAGGCAAATCTAATGCTAAAGACAAAAATGGAGGAGAAAGAGGAGGAGGAGGAGGGAGAGGGGGAGGAGTAGGAGCATATGCCTTATCCAAAGCTAAAGATAATTTTGATTTTCTAGTTTACCTTCTATAGAATAATGCTATAATTCTCTGAACATATATGGTTAAGAATTACTCACTGTCCTGTATTATATGCTACTCAATTCTATTAACCAGAAAGGAGATACAAAGGTCATTAGTAAAAAAAAAAAAAAAGTGCTTTTAAAATGTAAAGTGATTATAGAATACAATATGGAGGGTTAACACATTCATACAATTAGAGTATTTCCCTATAAGCTCACCTCTGACATATCATGCACCAGCAAGAGAGGAATACTTATTGTTGTGATGTCGTGGGTGCAGCAAACCTTGAGTATGTTTCGGAGTCCCATAATGGCAGGGTCGCGAGCAGTGATGTTTCCAGATTTCACATTGTCATCCACACAAAGATGGAAAGCAACATGGATTTCTGAGAGATTAGAATGCCGTGTAATGTAAAATTCTCCTGTGAACAAAAAATACAATCATGCTTTTCAAATGGCTAAAATCACTGCGATCTATGGACTGTACAAATAGCTGTGATAGGCAGTCAATGCATTAAACTAGTAGAGGTGTATCAGGAACTTATGTTGGGCTCAGGAAGCAAATATAATTACTGCATATGTATATATAAAATCTTCACCTGAAAATATTTTTCCTATTGCTTTTCAGAGAGAGTGGAAAGGGGAGAGAGAGAAACATCGATGTGAGAGGGACACATCAATTGGTTGCCTCCTGCACGTGTCCTGACTGGGGCTGGGATTGAGCCTGCAACGTAGGTACCTGCCCTTGACCAGAATCGAACCCAAGACCCTTCAGTCCACTGGCCGATACTCTAACCACTGAGCCAAAACAGCTACGGCTGATTACTGTTTCTAAATTCTTGAAAAGAAGGTGGTGAAAAAAGAAGCAATAGCCAATTTTGCATTAGGTTCATAAGTTGGTATGAAGTGATCACCAAATAGTAAATCAAGTGAGTATTCATCATCTTTATGTTGATGTAAATGCTCAAAACGTCGAACACCTTTCTGACTGGTCATGAATATACTGTGTCTGCACTTACATTAATTTAAGTAATTTAAACACCTTGCTGACCAGTCATGACGGAAAAGCAGCTGGCTGCCGGGCGAGTTCTGGCCCAAAACAGCCAGTCATCAAAGTGTTAACTCAAACTTAACATGTAAAAACAGGTCACTTGATTACCTGTCATCCCCAGACCCTAAATCTGCTCCTCTCCACCTCAATTTATGGGTCCAATTTCTAATGTTATTTTCTCAGGAGAGAAACACAGAAGTTGCTCTTCATTACTTTTTTTCTCAGTGCCTCTGCTCTAGTCTCTAATCCAATTCACCACCAACTGTTTTCAGTCACACCTTCAATAAATATCTCAAATCTGAACTCTCTGTTTTTATGCTCTCACCGTAGCTCATGCTACCATCATCTCTCACTTAGGTTTCTGTAAGAGCCTCTTAAAGAATCTCTCTGCTCCCATTCTTGCTGACCCACAAACTACTTCCATATTGCACGCAAAATGATTTATACATAAATCAGATTATATCACTCCCCTATGTAAAATCATCCAACAGGCTCACACCACATTCAGAAAGAAGTCCAAACTCTTCACTGTGGTCTGCAAGGCCACTGCCTATCTGTCTGACATCCTCTTGCCTCAACCTCTCTTCCTGTCCAGCCACACTGACTTTTGTTCAGTTCTGCAAACAATTTTGGCTGCTTGGTGAAGGCTTCTAGTTACCAGCGTACATAAGCTAATGCCCATGGATGCCACTAACAGGCCCCAGGAAAAAGTCTTTTTTTCTAATTTTAGATAAAAGAATTAGATAAGCAGAAAAAGAAATTAAAGAAAAAACAGAGACATAAATATGAAAATAAACTAGTGAAATAAAAAGTAAAATAAGATTGTCTGATGAAAAATAGTTCGGTTATAATTTCCTGGAAGGCAATGAAAGACACAGACTGCTTATAGGAAACCTGGTAGACTCTCTCTGAGACAATATCCTTTTGGGACCAAAGAAGTGTAGTATGTTTTAAAGTCCTACTGATCATTTAGGTGATGCAAGTCATAGTATTAAATATGGCTATAGTCCAGCAGAGGCAGGTGACTTAGTGAACAGTCAGATGCTCCTAATCCCCACATTGGCACTGCTTTGTTTGACCTCAGAAAACCTGTCTCTGGGCCTCATTTTACCCCTTAGTAGTATCAGAGCAATATAAGATAGTAGAAAAAGGACTAGATTGGGCATTAAGAAGATCTGGCCTCCAGCACTTACTGGTTAGTAATCTTGGGTAAATCAATTCAACTTATAGGTTCTCTGTACTTCATGTATGAAATGGGAAAAATAATGCCTGACTGCTTTCCTTACAAAGTAGTTGTGAGAATTAGATGACATAAACTGTAAACATTTAGATAATGGTAAAGCAAAACTACTGGTAAAAGTATATAAATAAAATTGTTTTTCTTTACAACTTAAAAATTTTAAAGCATTTGTGATTTGGATCTTTTTTCTCTGTTTACTTCTTAGCTGTGTAGGCATCTTTTAATGAAATGAAAATTCAGATGCTATCAGCATGTCTAACTGAATAGTTTAATGATCTTTTTTTAATGCAGACTTACAACATATCTTCTTGATTTGGTGGTGATAATGAGATATAGGCTTTTTCCAAAAAGGAGCAAGAAAGGAAATAAATATAGCAATAAAGAGTTAAGATTTTTTTAAAAACAGGCATCAGTACTTTTGGAATAGATAATAAGATTGGCAAATTTAAAGAAAGCCACAAAATATGGATGATTTAAATTATGGATCTGTGAAGAGAAATACAATGAATACTGTCTCAATGAAGGTATTTTTAGGTGGAGAGGAGGACAGTTTCCTGTTCCACAAAGTAGTGATGCAATCCTGCCTCTAACATTATCCACTAAGGTAGGATATCTGAAGGTGGATGGAAATTCGGAAGCTGATGACCACAAGCTAACTGACTGGGACTGACAAGGTAATATCAGAAATGGTTATGCAATTTGTTTAGATTAAATGGAATGTGACCTATATGTAGAAAATCTGGGGGAGGAAATGTGAAGAAACAATCTTGGTTATTTATGAGACTGCAAAATTTACCACTTAGTTTAAAAGACTTTACATTTATAAAGTTAGCAAATAGGTCTTCTTTGTTATACATTGTCATATAAACACTATTAAGGATCATCAGAGTGAATTCAATCTGGGAGAGGACCAAGAGACTGAATTTCCAGTTTATACACTATATATCCAAGAATAATAAGGAAATTAAAGAAATAGAAAGTAAGAAAACTGATGGGAAAATAGAAATAAGAAAGATTCTAAATCAAATGACCCCATGTTCTCTCTACAAGTTCAACTGTTTACATTTTTATGTACCATTGTTTATTTTTCAGAGTAAAAATTATTTCTTGGTTCATTAAAGAAACAAAGAAACAATGTATAAAAGAGGAAATCTAAAAGAGCAAATAACAATAAAGCTTATGCAACTGCTTGAGCAAGTTTTCTTGTAGGGATCTACAGAAGTCAGTACTAGTAGAAGACTTAAGTTGCAGAACATCTGTAAAAGTGAATGATATAGATATGATGTTGTTTCAAAGTGATACACTGACAAACTTTTTATAAAATATACCATAAGAACTTATGTTTCAAATCAGATTTCAAAGTATATGACAAGAAAATTGCAATTTAAAATAATACTTACCAGGTAAAATATTTAAATAGTTTCTATCAGCATTTTTAGTCTTATCATCACTTCCTCCATTTCGGTTTCCAGAATCTATTCATAACATAATGGAACGTGAAAGAACATCACAACATATGAAAACACACTTGTCCTCCTCAAGCAATCACAATAGCAAACATTAACTAAGAATCTCTAGGTGCCAGGCATTCTGATGCATGCTTGACATGGATGGTCTCATTTAATTTGTATAAAATGTCTATAATCACAACCTTATGAAGGAAGTACTTTTACTACTTCACTTATATATGAGGAAACAGAGGCTTAAATCGGTTAATTAACTTAACCAAGAATGCATAGGTAAGTACCAGGTCTTGAACCTACATACACAGATTCAAATCCTATGATCTTAACCATATTAGACTTGTCAATACCCTACCCTATTTTTCATCTGGGAGGTTCAAGGCACTACGTTAATGACATATAAAATAACTTCATTAGATAGTTGTCATGTGGCCATCTTTATTTTTAGAATCTGAGTCACTGTTTTTGATATAACCTGTTTGGAACTACAAACAAATGGTTAGTAGCACCAGGAATCACTTTGTTACTTATATGACATTATATACAATTTATTTCAAATAGATATATAAGACTTTGTTTCAAATGGATCATTGTTTGCAGAGAGTCCATAGTTGTTCTTTGTAGAAGGTATGATATTACTTAAAAGGATACATATTGGTAAAATAAGATACATCACAATTGACCACACACTTTTAAGGTTGAATACTAATTATTTTACATACATACATACATTTTTAATAGAAGATACATATGAATTTTATAAGAACTCTATCAGAACTCAAAAAATGCAGAACAAATAGCATTCAAAGTAGCCCTCGTTAAGAAGCTGTATATTTATTCCAATTAACTGCAAAACTATTTGAAACAGCCTTCGGCGTCAAAAATCACTGAAAAGAGTCAGAGCTTGAAAGGAGTAAACTGCAAATACCAAGAGAATATTATGGCTTCAAGAAAGCTCTGAATAAAAGTAACTTAATATTTTTACCTAGAGACTACTTTGATGAATTGATTTACGACACTGTACCTGGAAAACACATACATTTTATAAATAAAAAGAGGGAGAGAAGCACAAAGAGAAGGCTCTGTGTTGCAGAATCCATATTTAATGTAATAGTCAGTTTTTCATACAGAGCCATGTAATTGATAGGCTCTGAATATAGTACAAAAACAAAAAACAATAAATAAGGACTCTAATTTTGCTCACATAGGGTATGAACAAACAGAATCCCTATTAAGTAAACAAGACAGAACAGTTCATAGTCCATTTCCCTTTCTACTTTTTTTTTTTTAAGAGAGAGGAAGGGAAAAAGAGAGAAACATCACTGTGAAAGAGAAACATTGACCAGCTGCCTCTTGTACACACCCCCACTACGAACTGAACCGGCAACCTAGGTATGTGCCCTGGCTGGGAATCTAATTCTCGACCCTTTGGTGTATGGGACTATGTTCCAATCAACTGAGCCACACCAGCCAGGGCCCCCTTTCCATGTTTTAATGGCAATACCTTGTAACACTAAGAAAATGGCTATTTTTCATTTTTTTAAAAAATGTATATAAAATGTGTACAAAAAACAAATTGTTTTTGTAGCAATATAAAGATGCTAATATAATAAACAAAGTAAACAATGGAATACCTTAAAATAAAAAGGTACTTGTGTATCAGGATATAAATGTGTAGAACAAATATGTGGGCGTGCACAGAAAAGGAAAAGACAAAGTATTTTCACAAAACTCTTCTGTAACAACATGCTGGTCCCTTTAAGAAAGTTGTCTTTTACAAACCTACTTGTTTCACTGACTCACTTAAACCACAAAATAGTTGCTTGAACAAAAACAAAATAGTACCATGATGTACACACGTTGCCTTAAGCGTACGTGGTTTAAAAACTTCCTGTCATTTACTGCACACTTGCTATCTCTCACAAATATACTTAGAATCCTCCTTCTCCCACACCTGTCATGATCTCAATCTCATGATTTAGTCACTACTAAGAATAATATTATAATGTTACTGATCGCATCATTGCTAATTTGAATGGGATGAAGGAAGGAGATGATAGATGAGTAAGAGGACATACTGAAATTTTACTGTTAGAATATGTTCCCATGCCGATTTCCTAGTGCTCAGCCTGGCTCTGTCCTATGTAACACAGGCTGCCACAGCAAAGCCACAGTTACCTACAGTGATAACAGAAACTGGGAGAGCCGCTATGGAGAGCGACTGCTAACAGTCAAAATTATAAATGTACGTGTCCCTTAATCCAGAAATTTCTCTTTAGGAATCTATTCTATAGATATGGTCATACACACACAACGATGAATGTTCAAGGTTATTCATGCATTATTACTTATAATAGCAACAACTTTTTAACAGATTAAATGTCTATCATGGAAATGATTAATAATGACATATCCTGCAATGAATGAGGATGCTCTTTATGTACTGATATGAAATGATGTCCAAGATAAATCATTAAGTGAAAAAGCCAGAATTACTCTGTAATTTGAGTCAGTTTTTCCTTTTACCTTTGTCTTTCCTTAAGTCTCTCTCTCTCTATATATATATCCTCTGAAGAAAGATGCCATGAACTTTTTCCATAACTTTGAAATCATTTCCCAGTAAATTTCCTAAATTGTTAGAAAAAATGTTCATATTGTGGACAGATAAAGAAAAAGCAGGACATACTTCTGGACATAGAAATTTTTTAAAAGAACAACCAAAAATAATTCTTATAATTGGCTTCATGCTACCTAAGTGGATGAAGGATATAAAAAGTGTGTATTTTGTGCTACTATTTATTCTGGCTCTCCAATGCCACCTGCAGTAAAAATTATGTCCATTTTAGATACGGAACTTGGGTTGAAAGATTAGCAACTTTCCATGGAGTGCCTATTTCAAATATAACTACAGAAGTAAAATTGAATAAGTGTTTGCTAAGGATCTTGAACAAAATCATGCAAAAAAGGGAATTAAGATCAGAATCTAAGCTCCTAAAGATCTTGGATTTTGTTCTTAATTCCTTTCTTCCACCTCTCTACCAATGCAATTTTCTGTATTTCAATGATGAACCATATGCTATTAGAGTATGTAGGGACAGAACATACTGAAAGTGAAATTTTAAAAAATTTGAGTTTTACTGACCATGTGATTCTTTCAACTTACTCCTGCGCTGGGTTCTAGCATAAAGTACCACCTGCTGTACAACTTCCAGTTGCTCTTCAATTCGGGGAAAATGGAAGTCAGTGCATTCTTGGCAAACTGTGGCAAAATCTAAGGAACCCAAAACATGGTCAAACTTTAAAGGTGAACTGTCAGATACTTAGTATTTACTTACAGACATGGAGATCTGGTGAAATAGAATATAAAATTCACAAGTATGATTTCTTATACTTGTCCTTTCAATAATTATGTCTTATGAAGTTAGGTTACAGCCATTTTGTTTTGATCAGAAACAATCTCTCAATCACTCAAAAGAGTAAACAATTAATAAAGAAGATTTTAATGTAATTCCAAGCCTTCTTTAAATAATAGATACTTTGATTATAATCCAGCCCAAAGAGTGCTAAAAATATATAAAAAGGTCCTTATATTTATGATAGCAAATAAACTCTATTCAAGCTTCTTTTAAAAAGTTACACATTTTAAGACACTTCATATATTTAAAATTTTTTAAATAATCATAAAAAGTGAGTTGTACTATGAAGAAAGGTATGAATTTTACATAGCACATTTAAGAAACAGGTTATTTAAAAAACAAAAAGTAACAAATGGATGAATTAAAGTTCACTGAGAGATGATCTGTTTCTAAATCTCGATTATTCTTTCCGTTATACCTTGGAATAAGGACCCTGTAATAGTATTATTTACAATATAAAAGAATTTTAAGAAAAATTATTCTGAAGCACCCTGCCCATGCTAAAGTATGAAACAAATCTAAAATAGCTGTGGCTGGGTATGTTATTGTTTGGTCTACGTGAACACTGGGGCGACTAAACATTTTCTTCAATTTTTCCATAATTTAATTTCTTTCTTTGTAAGAATGGTATTAAAAGAAATTTAATGAAATAAATATATATAATGCTGACTTACCTCTTTTAATACCACTATACGAATTGATTCGATTATCTACTAGTAAAACCAGGCCACAGAGAGATGTGGAATAAAGTGACAGGGCAGTCTGGAGTCGATGGAGTTTCACACCACTTCGATGATTTCTTTTGTGTTTACAGAAATCCAGCATATCTGCTCTCAGCAATCTCAAATTATGCATGGTCTTCAACTGAGCTCCTGGGAGAAACAGGCAACAACCCCAGAAAGATATTTAGCTACAAAAATCCAGTATAACAGGATGCAAATCTCTAAGACAATCCAGATAAATATGTGGTACAAATAATTAAAAATGGGCCTTGCATTTTCCCATTTTAATAACTAGTAATATTTAATCTTTCTATTTGCAAAAAATAATATATAAGCTAAAACAGAAAACTTATAGCCAACAATCTATAGCCTTTCTTGGAGCAGGTATACTTCATAATTAAAAATAACATAGGTATGATGTTTTACTCGCATGCTAGAAATTTTTCTTATAGCATAAAAAATTTCACAAGTTACAATAAATTATGACTGCAAAAAATTAATATGCTTACCTAAGTGAATGGTAAAACTTTCTTCTAACTTTCTCTGTTCCTCATAAATCCTTCCATTTGCTTCTCCCGATTCTCTGAACTGACTTGGTTGAACTTTAATTTCTTCACTGAAATTAATAAAATTATTGATTTGGGGGGGCATGTTTGTCAAGAACTTTTCTTAAAGAAAAGAAAGATTTCTAATGAAATGACATAAAATAGCTGAAAGTAGCACTTAATTTATTCTTAAACTTATCCTTAATCCATGATCGCAAGTAAGATCATAAGTACCGAGAAGTTCTAAAATTCCCACTTGTTCTTTCATTTCCTCACAGTAAGTAATGGATATAATTCATTTTCAGTCATTACAATATCAATTCATATATTATCATTTAATATTTCTTTATGGCCTAAGAGAATGATTAAAAGAAGGGATTAACTTATTACTTTAAAATTACATTAAAAAAATAGATATTGCTTATTAGGTTTGGCTGTAGACAAAACTAGAAAATGGGCAAAGTGAAAGAAATGAAAATTAAAAACTAAATCAAATAATGAATAACAGAAAAAGATGAAGTTCATTTTGATGTATTTTTTCCCCACCAACATTCTCCTCCTGTTAAAGGACTTCTCTCTTTGCTCTACTCTGCTCTTACATTTCCTGAAAAGGTTTCCATAGAGGCACTATAACTGTTCAATTCAAATTTCATGGTACGCTGAAGATAATATAAGCCTGCAATAGTCATCCATTCCCCTGGCTACATTTTTGGGGTTAATCCAAGCAATCTGACTGCATTAGTATATGGTAAATATAAACCTAAAAATAAATTTATATTAATAAAATATCTCATCTTAGGATGCAAAAAGTCACAAGAGAATGTTGCTCCCACTCTAATAAGAAAAAGCCAAATAATATATAAAATCATAACTTTTCTGAAGCCCATTAGAGATGTGAGGTAACAATGCAACCAAGGACACTAAATTCTAAACTGTGACACATCCTCCACGGAGAGACAGGACACAATTTTCACTTTTGGCAGAGCATAGTAGAAATGTGTTGGTGTAATGTAAGTGGGTAAGAGGAAATCAGCCAAAGTTTAAACAAATTCTTAAAAGTCAAATATAGGCTAGCAAGTAAATTTAGAATAGCTATGTGCCCAAGCACAAGGGGAGTTTGCATGCATTTGTAAACTCTTCCATTGGCCTACACTAAGTGCTTCCAAGAAAACACCGGAGGCAGGGCAGGAGACAAGAGTGCCCCTCGGTGTCCAAGCCCAAGGCCCAGATATACAAGCTTGCCCAAGACTGAAGCTGGACAAAGACAACAGAGACCTGTCTCTCACCCCCAACTATAAGCCTAGCACCAAGTAACAAACAACAGTCTATTGCTAGGGTGTCAAGCAACAGCACAGAAAGAGACCTCATGCTGTGGCAAGGTCTGCAAAGGCTACCAAAAGCTGAGGATAGAGCAGAATGATGGAGAAAAACCCTTGGGACCCAAAGCCCCTCTTCTAAACACAAAGTACTGGCAGCTTACTACTATAGAAAATAAAGCCTGTGACATACTGAAGGAACAAAAACCAAACTCAGCTCAACTGCTGACTAGATCTCTATGACTTTCACATTAATGGCCTGTTCATTTACAGACATAAATATTATTTATCTCAGTCTTTTTTCTAATACATACAATATCCAGCATTGAGAGAGAGAGAGAGACGACCCCTAAAAGGCAGATAAGCAAACAAACTGCCCCCCCCCACCCTCCCCCCCGTAAATAGATAAAGCAATCAAGAAAAACAGACTTAGAGATGACCCAGAATTGGGGACTAAAAGAAAGGGATGTTCAACATTAGCCATCAGAGAAATGCAAAGTAAAACCACAATGAGACACCACTTTAAAACCTGCTAGAATGGCTAAATATCAATACCAGGTGTTGCCAAGGACGTGGAGCATCTGAAACCCTCATACATTGGTGGTGGGAATGGAAAAATGTAAAGAAATAGTCTGATAGTTTCTTATAAAGTTAAACATATATTACCACATGATCCAGCAATCCCACTACCAGGTATTTATAAGAGAAATAAAAACATATGAATATACAAAGACCTATATATAAATGTTTACAGCGGCTTTATTTATAGCTGACAAAATTTGGAAATACTGTAAATGTCCATTATCGAGTAAATGAATTAACAAAGAATAACAGAATACTACTGAGCAATAAAAACTTTAAGAACTACTCATAGATAGAACATGAATGCGTCTCAAAAGCATTATGCTCAATGAAAGAAGCAAGACATAAACTGCTACTACATACAGTTTGATTCCACTTCTGTGACATTCTAGAAAATCAAAATTACAGGGACAGAAATCAGATCAGATTGCCAGGAGCTGGGCAAGAAGGAAGACGACTAACTATAAAGGTGCAAAAGGAAAAAGAGAGGTGTAAAAGGTAAACGCTCTATCTTGATTGCTGTCACGATTTCATGACTAATTTAAGTGTGTCAAAACACATCAAAATGTAAATCTAAAAAAGGCTAAACTTAATTAATGTAATTTCTCCTTCAATAGACTTAAAAAAAACACAAAAAAGCAAAAATAAATGAATAGAAAGAAAATATAACTTTTATCAATCTCATGGGAATTCTATACAGGGTGGGGCAAAAGTAGGTTTACAGTTGTTCATATGGAAAATAATACAATAATTAATAAATAATACAATAAACTCTTTGATTTGTGTACTCACAACTACTTTTTGCTCTACCCTGTACATAGTTGTGTTGAAAACAGATTTCTCTTGCCCAAGAAAACTCCTTTCAAAACAGAAAAGCAAACTAATAAAGTCATAATAAAAATATTTTTTCCTGGGAATATCTGGTTTTTAAAAGGTGCAGCAGCCAAAGGTCAATATTTACACAATGGAATCGATCCTATAGATTGAATTTCTGTAACTACAGCGGGAAAGGGAGAGATAATTTTTGCAGCAAGGGGTTTTCACAGCTTCCCTAACTAAATCAATGACTTTCCACATTGTTTTACCACAATATATAGTACATATTTTACATTGTGCCTCAATACACGCATTCATTTATAGAAAGTTTCATGCATAATGTGCTCTGATATCTCCCCCAAATTCTTCTGTACTCTCTTCCATTCCACTTCATTTTATTGTTATTTTAAAAGTCCGAATGGAAAGTAAAAGATCTAGAATGGTCCCTAGCAAACTGCAACCAGCAGTTTGAGAAACATTATATCTTATAGTATACAGATGTTCCCAGTCCCACTTTCCCCCACCTTTCCCTTTTTATTGTATTTGTCACTATTTTCATTTAAAATGAGGATATAGTCAAATATGTTACTGTCAAGAATGTTATCCCAATTTAAAATATTTAAAATTGTTTAATCTTTCTAAGGTGTTGTCTTGGGGAAAACAATAAGGCAAATGAAAGATTATGATACTTAGATAAGGGAGAGATAGATATCAGGTAAATAGTTTAATAATCCATCCATCTGCCTGCTTGTCCCCAGTCCATATTTATTGAGTATGTCTTATGTGCCAATATCAAGAGCTAAACACTTGATAAGGATCTAGTATGCAGTAGAAAAAACAGTTGTGTGCTTTGTCTTCAAGGCAAGACTAATGTGGGAGACTGATATTACACAAATAAAATGCTATTTCTAGATGTTTATAGTATATACCAGCTAATGCTAGAAATAGGATTACTATACTGTATTAAGTATATTTCCAACTGAATATACTTTAGGATTTGAAAGGAAAAAGACATTCTCAAATATGAATATACAGCCAGGAAATAATATAAGCACTGTCAAGCTCTAGGGTGATCTATGAAACACAATGCACTTAGGTCATAAGGAACCATACAAGTTATGAATTAAGAAAAGTCCTCTATACTATTTTTGTACTTTGTACATGCTATTACTGCACATATCCTATACAGTATTGCTTTACTCATAGGTCAGTCTTTCTAGAATATAAGCTCCACATGGGCAAGTATCATTTTTATTTTTCTGCTTTGAGAGTGCTTAGCATTTAAGATGCATTCAATTAATGTTTATTGCACTAAAGGAAACCAATTTAAAGAAGCAAGAGATAGTACTCGGTGTACTTAGGTATACACACCTAAGAGATTTACAAGGCTAAGTTCTAGAGGAGAAATCATTACTTTAAATGAACCAATTAATCCCCCTCCCAAATAATCCACATAGAATCTATAAAACAAAAGGTTTTTAAAAAGGTATAAAATTATCTTGAATTTTCATTGGTAACTTAAAAATATCTACAACTAAAAAGGTTCAATTTTACAATAAATACAAACTGTTAATAACAATGAACTTTCATCTAATAAGAATAATACATGATTAATACCTGAGGGAGCTGTTGTTGGGGTTTTTTAGGTCCTGATGAAGTTTTATCACCCACTCCTGATACTCTTGCTTTTGGATGGCAGTTGATTGTTTTAATTCATTTGACCACTTATTTTCTAAGTCCTAAAAAGAGACAATGTACCAACTAGTTAATTTTCTAATGAAAATAAGTAAGCAAAAGAAAAAAAAGTAACTGCATATCTAAAAGCCATTGTACTTCACTTACTTGCTGGGATTCAAAATGCTGAGCAGCCAGTGAGTTTACATCTTGATCTGTCAGTGATTTTCCCAACTCCTGCATCACTTTTTCCATTTCAATACCTTGTCTAAAACATAAATAAGGTCGGATACAGTGATCAGAATTTTAAGGTCTATGACTACTCCAGATTCACTGAATAATCTCTGCAAAGTAGAAATAAAATTTTTATTTTATAGGAGTATGTCCAAGAATGGCAACTATAATACCTGGAAAGCATTTTGAAGGCTTGGATGTGGAGATGTGGAAATAATAATGATAATTTCATATAGTATCAATAACATCATTTGTGTAGCTAATTTTTAACCTAAATTTAATGCAGAAATGAAAGCAGTCAAAATCTAAGTCATCTTTCAATTTCTATGGCCAATGGTTAAAAGTCCAAACCCCTTTTCATCTGCACATTCCTCAGAGAAGATACTCTGCAATTTCAGCTTAAATACATTTTCTATTTATTTGTACATAAGTTAAAGTAACTCCAACCTTTGAAAGTTAGTTTATATTATAACCAGAAGTTACCAATTAGGGTCTCAGAATCAACCTAAATTAAGTTACAAGTTCCCTTCACAGTCTGGAATATAAAATACTTCTGAAGACATGTTTTAGTCCTACCTTTTTCATCTATCCAAATAAATAATGCGCAGAAATTAAAAATGGTTTTCCCTACAGGTAAAACTGATCAAAGGTATTATAAGTTCATATGATGGTTACTTATGGGGGATATGGGTAGTGACTAGATGGGCAAAAAGGAGTCTTTCGCAGTGCTGGAAATATGCTAGTTCTTGAGCCAGGTGATGATTACATGGGTGTACTTACTTTGTGAAAGTTTAGTGAGCTGTACACATACAGTTTGTGGCCTATTCTCTAATGTTATATTTTGATAAATAAGTTCATGAAAATTTTCAAATTAAAAAATTATCTTCTGATATATATTAAAAAGTCTGTTCTAAAACACAGTCCAAACAAAGTTGGAAAGAATGAAACAAACATCAACTAAAAGAATTTTACCTCATTCTAGTTAATTTAAGTAAACAGCTCTTAGAAGCAAGTTTATGCTTCTTTATAACAACTGATTAAGATACTTATATGTATATGATAAATGAAACTCATTCATACGTTATACATTTACACATTTCTATATATTCCTCCTAGTATTAAATATTTGATACCATTTAGCCCCCACTTAAATCTAATGTAGGTGGCCCCATTAATTTTTTAATAACTTCTAGAGGTCAGGTGAAGATTATTTTGGCAAGTAAGATTTTTATTTGAAACAGAAATAACTGCCAAATATTTATAAGTGCAAACTTCCATATGAATATATTAATATTTTACATTACACATGTTCCCTCTAGTGGATAAAAAATATCACTGCCAGTTTTACATTAAAAAAAATACCCTGAACTGGTTTGCCAAAAGAAGCAAATATCCAGTGAGGAAAAAGTAAGACTAATAAATAAGAACTCAACAAATAAAATTTCATGAAAATTTATTTTACCCTAAATGTATCAGAAACACAGTAACTAATGATATAGAGGGTGGGGCAAAGTAGTTACAATTGTTCATATAAAAAAATACAATAATTAATGAATAATAATACAAGAATAAATTCTATGTTTCGTGTACTCACAACTATAAACCTACTTTTGCTCCAGCCTGTATTAATAATACAGTATATATTTTCTATGATTAAGATCAAAGGAAATTTTATTATATTTCAGATAAACTACTATGTATTGGCTCAGTATGTCAGGGATGACAATTCTGACAACCTGTACATTATCTTGAACACACTTTGGAAAAACGATCATTATAACTGCATTTATGCTGTGCTTAGAAAGTATTTTTTAAAGATGTAAAATGGAATTAAAAGGAGAATAGGAAAATGTATCACTTCTGCTCATGAATTGGATAAATGAATTAAGCACCAAAATTGGGGGTAAAATTCCACATATCAGTGAATTCCAACTTACCTTAAGTATACTGTTCACCTTTGCGATAGATACTACATACCTTAAGAGGAACATAGCTTATTTTTCCTGTTCAAGCTAACAGTTTGGATATGTGAAAGACAAACTATAAAACAGGTTTTAAAATAAATGTATTCAAATAGTGTTTATATTTTAGAAAGAAAAAAAAGCAAAGCCCCATCAAGAAGTGTAGCCAAAGAACATTTCAAAAATTAACATAAACCAAACTATTCCAAGATAGGGGGGGAAAAGTATAAAGTTCCAGTAAATGCAGAAAATTAGTAAGTTAATTCAGCTTCCCAAAAGGTAAACAGTCATAGCATACTGATGGCCACTTCTGAAATTTTCTGGAAGGTGTAGTAAGTAGGCAGCAAAGTGGGCCACAATTTAGAGGAGCTCACAGTCAAATAAAAGAACAAGTAAAGGCTACTGACATAAACTATAGATGGCTGAGCTCGGAATTTTTAAATATACCTAAATAGGTAGAATGACTGCAGTCCTAGAAAACCTGAGATCCAAGAACAGATTCAGAATGATTATTATTTGAAGCCCTGGTAGGAAAAAAATCAAATGAATGAAGTTGAACTGAAGATAATTAATTAGTATTAGGTAATTGTATTTTTATATATTTTAAAAAATCTGATCTTTGTTCTTATTTTAAAAATTATATTAGCAATTTTATTAGCTACATATAAAGAACAAGAAAAAAATCAACTATTTACATGGTAGCAACTACCCATACTGCAGGTATCCCATCTAGAAAAAAATAAACTGCCTCAAAGCAGCCAGTCAGCAAACCCATAAAGAGTGGCAAATGTCTCAAAACATCATGTTTTTTTTTGACACAGAGACAGTTCTAATACCATTAGATATGATAATAAAAGATCCAGAGGATAGAATTATTATGAAAATTTACAAATACATGCAATGTAATAAGAATGCTGTAATAAGACAGTAGCCAACAGGAAAAATGATTAAATCTATTTGCTTATGATTTTTGTGTTTTAAGTTTTCTTAACTATGAAAACCTTCAAATTAACACATTATTATCTTGCTAGGCCCAAAGTTTTCTAATGCAAAGCTAATGAAGGCCAGAAGCAAAACAGTATACCATTTTAAATTTACTTCTTTGGGACTGATTTCATAATATACAATTTGTTACTAATACACTTTCATAATCAAAGAACTTTTAAGTCAGCAACACTAAAAAATCATCTTAATGCCATGTATACCTAAAGTCTTAAATAAGTGTTTTTAAGGTAATAAATGTTATTAGAATCAGCTAGATCAAAATGGATTATCTAGAAGTGTGTCCTGAGTTATTACTACAGTTATGGAATTACTAGGAAGCAGTCTGGAAAGGTATGCTTTAAAATAAATAATGCTAGCAATTTTTTACTTACTCTGAAGAAAAAAAAAGGATCATAAAAACACTTAGTACAGTTCACATACTGTACTAAGTAATTCATACAAAATGAATTCAAATCTAATAAAAATTTCTTGGAATAATACTAGTGTGTTGCTTTTTCTCTAACGTAAATAAGCTTACAAAAAGAACTGAGAGAGACTATGGACTTAGTCACAGCAGTTTTAAATAGGTTCTGAACAGGGAGGTAGTACGATACAGCACTTACGAGCTTTAGACTTCCTGGTTTCAAATTCTAGCTTGTCCTTAGACAAGTTACTTAACTTATTTAAGCCTCAGTTTCCTCCTCTGTACAATGGGTATAATAGTAGGGTTGTGGTAAGGATCAAATGAAATAGAGTATCTGTTATGAACTGCATGTTGGCGTCCCCTCCAAATTCATATGTTAAACCCTAACCCCACTCCCATAATGTGATGGATTTTGAAGGTACAGCTTTTGGGAGGTAATTAGGTTTAGAAAAGGTTATGAAGTTGAAGTCCTCATAATGGAATTAGAGGAAGGGATGCTAGAGCTCTCTCTCTAGAAGAGACACACTAGGAGCACACAGTGAGGAAAGGCCATGTGAGCACACATCAAGAAGGTGCTACCTATAAGCCAGGAGTAAGAAATAAACTTCTGTTGTTCATGCTACCCAGTCCATGGTATTGCTTATAGCAGCCTGAACTGACTAAAACAGCATCCAAAGCACTTTGTACAGTGCCTGGAACAAAGCAAATCTTTAACAGAAGTAAGTTATTCCTCTTATGAGAAATAATATGTAAAGCCACCATAATTTATTTAGGTAAATCACTTGAGAAGTTTTATAAACCTATGAGGATGTCCCAGTTGAAATTACAGATTTAAACACACAAGAAAATTAATTTCTAATATTAAAGAATTGTTCCCATTTTGTTCTTCACTTTCATAACAAAATAAAAACGAATTTGCAGGCCACCACATTTGACAATGTAACAATTATGATAATGCAAGAAATTATTGAAATACCTCTCTCGTAATTTTTTCAGCTCCACATCTCTTTCACCAATCAGTTCTGAGATACTAACAAAGTAATTATGTTCCAAATTTAGGAGCGTTTCAGAGGCAGGAGAATGGATTAGGTCATGGTACACATCTGCAAAATCTTCATCCCAGCTGGGCTCTTCAGGCCTTGCATGCTCTAATGTGGTCTACAAATGATACATAGACATTCTTAAAACATGACATAGGATTTGTACTTAACACACTACTAGAAAAGTATGTATATTATGATTCCATTTTTGTACATGTGTATATATTGATTATTTAGGACTATCTGAATATACACACACAAAATTAAAAGATGTAAACTAAGTTGTTAATATGGGTTACCTGGAGACAGGGATGCGGAGGGGCTAATGTGGAGGAAGAGATAGGAATTGTCCACAACAAAAACAAAAGACAAAACTAAGTATGCTATAATCCAGTATCTGTAAAATAACACATACATACACAGGATGATCAACAAAATGCTAATGATGGCTATTTCAGGACAGTGGGATTGCTGATGAGCTTTGCTTTCTTTATATTATAATAATTTGCATGTATTAATTACATAATCAGGAAAACTTTTCACTATTAAAAAATACATTGCTAAAAAACTGTTTTGTAGGCTATATATTTAGAAAATGAGGTTACCTATGTGGTCCAAAGTATGGTGGCAACGACTTTGAAAACCCAATAAACATGCAATTTTCTTATTTTGACTTTTTTCTAGTATTCTGCTTTTTTCTTAAAATGTACACATGCTTTTAGGTACATAAAAACAGCAGCTATCAAATGGTAAAGAGACTGAGTAAATACTGATAAACGACAAAAACAGAAACACAGAGAGAGGCACATAGGGATACCCTCAGCACACATACAAATCCATCCAGGGAGGTACAGAAGCTTGTCCCACAGACATGTGATGTCTTAACACATCAGACAGACATAGTGCTTTACAAGTGAGGAAACTGACATGCTGAGAAGTCCCTTGTCAAGGATAATACAATTTAATGGCAAAAGTGGAAATTACACAAAGATTTCAATGTGTTTTCCATTATTTATCATTGTAGACAGGCAACTGTAAAAAAAGAAAAATCTAAATTGTTCCCTTTTCTTATCAATGAAAATACTAAAAACTGTAATCTATAACATAACTAAGAGTAATAATTTAATTTAAAAATAAAGCAAATGTATAAATCATAAAAACAGGTATTTTGAACTTGGTCAATCAATAGGTAAAATTTTCCCCCTGGTTTTCTTTCACTTATACTTCAATCAATTGCCAGATCAGGAGGGAAGAGTTTGAGATGACTCACTTGAATCTAGAACATGGATTTTATCTACCCTGTGTCTCTGAAAACCTGAGACCACATTCTGATAGTTGCTCCATATCTTTAAACCTGGCACTGCTCTAGGAATTATAACCAGCCCATGTGACTTAAACTCAGTTCAAAATTTACTTCAGTCTCAGCTAAAATTTTGTAGGAAGGAGCCAGTGCAAGATCATAGGGATCTCCCTGGCTGTCCATAACACCAGACATGAAGTAACCCCACTAGCCATATCAGTTACCTGTAATAATTTGCATCATCAATTGAAAACTCAGCCCAGAGCAAGCTTTAAGAATAGGTAGAAGCTACCTATATGAGAAGCACTATTTATATAGAGTTTTCCCTTGACCTAACTCCCCCCTCCCCCATTGCCTCAGGAGAGATGATATTAGAAAGGGGACTGTGACAGCTGAGAGGAATGGGGCACTGAGTAAAGGCCTGCTGAGAGAAAAGTATTCACTGTCCAGGCTATTATTTCTCCACCTGGTCCACATTCTGCCATAAAGGTCAGCTTCTTTGAGGCTCAAACCATTTGGCATCCCTTATCTTTAAGGGCATGGTTATCTAACAACCTATCACTCACCCTCATTCATTTAAAGCTTTGGCACTAAGCTCACACACTTCCCCCCTGCCCCACAACCTGTCATCAACCCTGATCACTTGGATGTACATGTGGATAACCCATCCCATGCCTTGCCTTTTTACTTTCCTGAACTCCTTATCTTTAGTAAGTCTTTCACTCCGCCTAGTCACCCATTCTGTATTATCACTAGGAACAACTCAACCTTGAAAATTCATTCAGTCTCTGACTATACTCTCCAACCAAGATTTCTCTTTCAGTAACTCCCAGGCAATTGGTTCTTCAACCTCATCAGGACCTCCACTCCATAGACCCTTCTACTTTCTCATTTTTTATCAGCCATTAGCTCACACCTAGCTTCCCTTTCTTCCCTATGTAGCTTACATTTCATGGTCCAGCATTCAACCTCTGTCTTGCCAAAATCCTCAACTCCCTTGACTGGTATCTTTCTCTTGCCCACCTAAAAAAAACTCTAAATCTTACAGTCAGGCTGTAGAGAGCTGCGGCAGAAAAACTACAAAAACTCTAAAGTTTATGGTGGCGGACTGGTGTGACTAACCTTTCCCTTCAATGATGCATGGTAATCCTATCTTTCTTTTTCTCTCTTATTTTTTATTGATTTTTGGAGAGGGATAAAGAAGAGGGAGTAACATCAATGTGAAAACAAATCATTAATCAGCTGTCTCCTGCATGTACCCTACTGGGGATCGAGCCCACAACCCGGGCATATGCCCTGACTGGGAATGGAACCAGCAACCTTCCAGAGCACAGAACGATGCCCAACCGAGACACACCAGCCAGGGCAGCAATCCTATCTTTCTCTGATCAGTTCTCTCCTCAAGCATCCAACTATCTCATCAGTCCCCAACATCATCCCAAAAGGTGTCCTGTCTTTATTAGTTCTCGATAAAGTAGAAGCAGTTAGAAAAAAATATCTTCAACTTCTGCTACCAAAGTAGCAAAATTTTCTTAATTTATATCCACCCTTTTCTTCTTACTTTCTGCTATGGTGAAAGAAGTGTCCCCCACCCCACTAAAGACTAGTTCTCTACTTGAGTTCTGGGTTCTATCCCCTCCAGTCTTCATCTCTACCATCTTAAAAAAATCCAAACCTCTGACCGGTTTCCCATTCTTAAAGTGCCTCATCCTTCTTCTCTATATAGCCAAATGTCTCAAGTTATCTACATTCATTCTCTCTACTTCCATACTCCCACATTCTTATAGTCACTGAAATCTAATTTTTGCCCCCACCAACCCCACTGAAAATGATCTTGGCACAGATAAGGTTACTTGGTAAATCCCATGGATGTTATTGAGTCTTTTCCTTGCTTGATCTTCAGTGCAGCACCTGGCACTGTTGAATATTTCCTCCTTCTTGGTGCCTCTTTTTTTCCTTCATGAAACCATAAACTTCTGCCTTCTTTCCTCATCTCTGGCCAGTTCCTCTTTCCTTTGCAGGTTCTTCTTCCTCTGCTTATCACTTAAGGGCTAGTGTCTGTTCATTTATTTGTATATTCACTTATCCATTTTTTGCCATCCATTGAAAACATACCAAAGCCCTATTATTTGCAGGCACTGTGCTAGATACAGGGCTATAATAGAGAGTAAAGTAGGCATCTCCAGGATGTCCACAAGTAGAGATACCAGTGAGTCAGTACACAATTATAATATAGGATTTTGTCAGGATTCTGTCCAGGCATCTAATCTGCTCATTTTACATAATCACCCTGCACAATTTCATTTATTCCATGACTTCCAAATTCACCTATATATGAATGGCTTCCACACCTATGTCTCTAGTCCAATCATCTTTCCTGAGTGCCAGGTCTATATAGTTACGTGCTTATGAGACCTCTTCACTTGGTGTCTTATAGGCACTTGACATTTTGAAGCCATCACTTTTATGCCAAAACTTGCCTCTCCTCATATGAATGGAGCCACCATTCAACATTTACCCAGTAGTCCAGACCAGAAATCTGGGTAAGTGATCTTTTTATCTTTTAAGTTTGAGCTTAAATGGTACCTCCTTAGGGGAGAGGTCTCTAACCCATATCAATTAGGTTCTCACATCCCACCTCTCCCCCTTCAGAGTTCCCTCTGTTGGCACCCCACTTATTTCCTTATAAGATGTTTACAAGTATGAATTAGTCATGCGCTTACTTGTTAACTCTCTTTTTCACTGCCAGCACATGAGAACAAGGACCAAATCTGTTCTGATATACCCTTGAAGCGTAGCACAGGACCCGCATAAAGTAGCTGTTGAATAAATAAATATATGAAAAAAATAATTCGTTATCTTTTTATCCCTAATACCACTATCTAGACGAGGATTTCATCATTTCTTTCCTATAACTGCAACAGTCTTCTAACTTCAAATTTTTCCTTTCCAAAATGGTCTTCACACTAATACACGGATCTTCTGAAATGTAAATATGGTCTTCTCACTCCTCTGCTAAACTCCTCTGACGCTGCTAAACTCCTTGAGCTTCAAGACAAAACTCAGGATGGCTCACAAGACTCTTTCCTAGCCATTCCAAACTTCTTTCAGTTTTTCTAATGTGCCATGGGCTCTCTCTCACCTTCAGGCCTTTATATATGTTATACCTTCTGCCTAGGATATTCTCTCTCCACTCCCCCCACCATACACCTTTCACCTGCCCATTTCCAACTCATCTTTCAGGTCTCAACCAAATTCCTCTTTTCTCTGGGATGCTTTCCCAAAGTTCTCTAGACTAGAATAGGTGCACCTGCTTTGTGTTCTCATAGCATCCTGTAGTCCCCCTCTCAAAGCACCTACCACACTCCAGTGAATTTAATTTTAATGATCTGTCTCCCTGCTAGACTGTAAACTCTGTGAAGGTGAGAACTGTGTCTATTTTGTTGTTATATCCCAAGTGCTTAACACAGTACCTGATATATAACAGATGCTCAATACCCATTTGCTGAATGAATCAATACAAAGAGAACTAAGAAGAGAACAGTACTGAAATGAAGATAGGGCACCACCAAAAATAAAGAGCCAACTTCACAATTTTGTCAATGAGTCCTCTATTTGCCTTTCCTTACCCACCTAAGTTTACTTCTCATTTAAAAAAAATTTAATGCAACAGCAAAAGATACAGTAGCTATTAGAAGAAACAGTATAATTAGGTTCTTAGGGACTAGAAGCAGAAAAAGAAGATCCTCTGATGGTAGACAAGAAAAAGAAATGCAGAAGAAAGTAGAATTACTCTACAAAGTAGGAATTAACAGTCACACACAACCTAGTAAACCATAAGAACCTCCTTATACCACACTAGTACATCAATTAAAGCCCAACTCTAAGTATCAGGGATAATAGTCCTCTACAGTGAAAATTCCTTATATAAGAGCAGCATATTCAGCACATCTCTGCGATGATGGGACAGAGAAGCCTCCCTCTGTAGCCTCACTGTATCATATAAAGGTATAATCATTTATATTTACAATGACCTGGGGTCAACAAGAAGTTAGAACTGAATTTAATAAACCATGCTTATAAAGCAAGGAAGTGTGTACTACATTTTAAAAAGATCTTCATCAAAAGGTGGTTAAAATAAAAGTTTCATGATTTAAGTATGTTACATCTGAAATATCTAGTAAATCCATTTCTAGAAAATGGAGCTCATTCCCTCATAACACTAGGTAACTGGTATTCCTATAAATATTCTGTTATTTCGCCTCTTTATTAATGCTATTATTCGTCTCAAGGTTACTGAAATTCTGCTGACATGTATGTTACAGAAACGCTTTAGCACTCTTCTGTCTCATCTGCCACTCTTTTCTGCCTCCACTATCAGTATGGCGCCAGTCATACTTTGGTTCTTCTAATCTCCGCAAAGCTGCAGCTTCTCATCTCTGCCAGCCCTTTTGCAATCTACTACAGAGTTCCTTTTCTTTTTTAATTCCTTCCTTTTAGTCACTGATTCCCATATTTCTCGAGCTTGTATTGAGCTGCTTGGCTTTTATAATTTTCACCACCAGTGAGAGTCCAAACATATCCAGTGGGTACAGGCATAGCAATAGTTAGGACTTCTCAGTTATTTTCCTGTCACTATTTCCTATTTTACTGTTAGAAATAGCTTCTTTGCTTTTTCTTTACTTAATTCTTTAAAGATGAACAACCGCTGGGCATGGCTCAGCGGTTGAGCGTCGACCTAGGATCCAGGCGATCGGGGTTTGATTCCCGGTCAGGGCACATGTCTAGGTTGCAGGCTCGACCAATTACTTTCTCATCATTGATGTTTCTATCTCTCTCTCCCCCTCTCCTTTCCTCTCTTTGAAATCAATAAAGACATATTTTAAATAAATAAATAAATAAATAAAGATGAACAAGCTACTATAGTTCTAGAATTCTGGCATTACCAGAAATCTGAATTCTACAAAACAAAAAGTGCTACCTACCTACTAAATTTGCATAGGGTAGAATAGAGTACTTGCTCAATTGATATTGATGATTTTAATTCACTGTTTATCTGTACTCTTGTGATTACATAAATTAATAAGTACAAAGTGTTATTATTTTGTTACATTGAAGTTACATTATTGTTACTATTGTTAGGATCATTAATCTGAAAGATAGTCGAATTCCTATTTTTAGAATGGCTAAAGCACAAAAGTATAAGTAAAACCATAAATTTTGTAAATATGATAATTATTTTTATAATAAGATAAACAAATAAGCATTTATTGACCTAGTATTTGGGAAGCTCTCTCATTGGTTACATAAGATCAGGGATAGGAGTGGTTCTGCTTTCAGATTTTATATCAAAACAAGAACAATCCTAGAGGATTGTTGCTTTCTGCAAGAACTCTTTCTTGACCACTCTTTCTTCCAACTTCTCTACATGATCCCACAGTATTTACTCTGACCTAACACTGACTGCACAGTTACAACAATCTGTGCGTTTCTTTGTATCTTTCCTACTAAACTGAATGCTTCCTGAGGGAAAAGACTTATCCTCAGCTGTACACCCAACCCATTTTAAACGTACAAAAATATTGGTCGAATAAATTAAGTGGAATTATTCTTTTAATATATTTTAAAGCTTTATTTTTTTTTTTATCAGCAGAAAGGTTAGGTTTCTTTAAATTGTAATTATTACAGACATATTTTTTAAATAAAATAATTATGTTTTTTATTATTTAAAATAATACATGAACATAGTGTCATCTTTTATAAATACTAGGAAACCTTTCTGGCCACAGAGCAAACTGCTTGGAATAACAAATATGGCCCTATAAAGTTGATTTCTTTCAAATTCTCATGAACTGAGTTCCTTAAAGCGGAATGTAATTCATTCATTATAGCTTGCAATTACTAGATTTATTTGTCTGTTTACCTAGTTCTGTATCTGGCTCTCTAAATGTAAATTTCATTTTGTAACTGTCTTGCTCACTATTTTATACCCAGTACCTAGTACAGTACCTGGCATATAACAGACTCTCAACATACTATATTTCATCAATTCTAAGACATATTTTTTCGTATTATAGCTCCCCCAAATCAGCATATATCTTATATTTGATGGAATCTTGGCATTCTATCATAGTTTAAAGGTAGAGGTGTTCTTAGTAGTAAATAAATAATGATGTGTGTTATGATCAATGGCATCTTAGACTTTATGAAATAAGGTATATTATAGAAATGGAAAAATGTTAATGTTATGTAACTAACAACAGGGATAAGTGAGAGGACAAAAGTAAACCAGATTAAAATAAGCTACTACTGCTAGTTTAGGGTTGCCAGATAAAATACAGTCACCCAGTTAAATTAGAATTTCAGATAAACAATGAATAATTTTTGACTATAAGTATGGTCCATAGAATATGTGGGATATACTTATGCTATAAAGTTACTCATCTATAAAGTTGTTCATCTGAAATGCTAATTTAATTGGTATTCTGTATTATTAAGTACTAAATCTGGCAACCCTATGCTGGTTAGAGATACAAAAGTAGCCTCTCATTTTATAAAGGCATTACATAAAGTATTGAGTCTTAGACAATCACCCTCATATAGAAAGTAAGCACTCAAGCATCAATATATATTGTATGTTATGGAACATATTTTTGTAATTAGAGAAAAAAGGATTTTACACCTATTTCAGTATTAGTAATTTAAAAATCCTTATCAAAGTGTAGAATATCCTTGAAATTTATAGTCTGATCTATTTTCTTACCTCAGCATAAGCTTTGGCCCACGTACTTGCAAGTTGATGTAAATCTACTTCACCTGACTTCACAGCTTCCAGTGATGCTTCAGCCTCTCTATCATAATCTCTGAGGGATCCTTCTTCTATAAACTGGCTCAAAGCTTCTTTCAAGTCTGTAACAGGGTAAAAAAAGCCATCACCAGCAAAATCCAGACATAAACAGGGAACATTTTACCTGACTAAGCATTCCAACGTGAAATTTTATTTTTCAAGCTTATACTCTTAAAACAATGTCTAAATAAAATAAAATAAAATAAAATAAGCTTAGGGGATCATTTAACTAATTCATAACCATTTTTCTTTACTATTACAGGCTATTGCATGGAGAATGGTCAAAATTCTTAACTCTTATGTATAACCTTAATACTAATTTGAAATGTTAATTTCTTAAGCCTGATGTTTCAGTTTGAAATTGAGTAGGTAAAATAACACACAGAAAAACTTCTACAGATTTCAAGGGTTTGAAGTTTACTGTATTTAAATGAAAAAGTTTCCTATATGTGTATTACATTCTTTTGAATAGTGTATTAAAACTTATTTAATTCTGACGCTCTATAATCCCAATTTTAGAGATAATACTTAGATACTGATATAATGGAAAGAGCACTGGGATAGAAGTCAGAATACTTGTGTTCTAGTCTTGGTTCTGTCCACCATGTTACATTAGACCATTGGTTCTCAATCTTTAGCATGCATCAGAATCCCCTGGTGGGTTTACTGAAATAGCTTGCTGCATGCTACCCCAGAGTTTCTGATTCAGCAAGAATGAGGTGAGGCCCAAAAATGTGCAACTTTAACAAGTTTCCAGGTGATGCTACTGCTTCTAATCATGAAACAACTTTTGAGAACCACTGCCTTAGGCAAATAATTCAACCTTTTTATGTGCAGATTTCCTTATCTGTACAATGAGATTGTTCTAGAAAGTTTCTATGTTCCCCTAACTCTAACTTTCTATGATCCAACACATTCTCAAATAAAATTGTTTTCCTTATCTGTGAGATAGAACATAGACTTTTAAAAATGGTTTAATACAGATGACCTTATGGAATTTAAGTGAGCAAAAATTATTCAAAGATTTAAAGTCTTTCTCTTCCATGACATCTCAGGAACTGAAACCAGATCATTATAGAGGTAATGCATTTAGCAATATAATTCTATAATATAAGTGATAGCTGAACTGCCTTATGAATCCACCCAACTAAGAGGTTAAAATTTCTACTCCAGACTTTGTAACTAATTTTTCATTATATAATTTAATTTTTACACTAACCTGCCTTATAAACAACTACAAAGGTTATAGGGAAAAGCACTAAGTAAAACAAAGTTCTGGGGCACCTTTTTATTCTTAAAAGCAGTTAAACACTTCATATTTTATGGCTCTTTCCAAAGCTTCTTAGTTTTATACTTTCTAATATGAAACTTTTAATGACAGAGATTCTAGGAAAATAATAAAGTGGTATTTAAAAATCAGTCCTCACCTTTTTCTATAAAGCATGGCAAACTGTGCAGCAGCATCAGGCGTCCATGTAAATAACTGGCATTCTCTTGAACAGGAAATTTGAGGGGCACCCTCAGTTCTAAGCACTGACTACCTATTTTGAATTTATACACAAATTCCCTCTCTCTGTTGCAGAATCTTTCTCTGTTTTTCTTCATCTTCTTTGGCAGGATATGTATAGAACTAGCAAAAAAAAAAAAAAGCAGCAGGTTATCAGTCCATAAAAACCATGATGTACTATATTACTGCTGTACCACTTCTAAGAAAATGTTCTGCCACTCAGATTTTTAGTTTTTCCTACTTTTATCCTTGTGTTTTCATCTTTGTGATGAAAATGAAGTGCTTCTTTTTAAAATCAGAACAGTTCCTTTTAAGCTTTATTTAAGAAAACAATATGTGCATAGAGTACTTTGCATTCCTAGGCAGGGTTCTCAAGAACAGAAAAAGAACACGGAGAAAGCATTAGAGAGGATTCTTAGCAGAGATGCATGGGTGGGCAGATAACACAATTTATAAAACAGTTGGTGAATACAAAGTCAAAGAAACAGATCAGGGACCAAGAAGTGATCTTGGAGATCTTAGATGTTGTACGAGATCAGATTGGGAGTTAAAGGGAAGGGGAGATGGGTGTTGGAAAGATTTCTACGTGGGAAAAAGACACAAAGAAAACGGAAAGTACAAAATATCCCACAAGGCAAACTGGATGCTATTCAGAAAGAAGAAAATCTAGTAAAAAAGTGTAAAAGTCAACATCCAGTAAAGGTTTACTTGTCGGCCTTCTTCCTAGACTCACAGTCTCTAGGCTCTCCCTCATCAAATCAGTTCTTACACTATTGTGAGACAAAACAGAATACGACACTGAAATGATAGTAATCGTTCCAAAGTAGACACCTGACCGTGTTATTCATCTGCTTAAGGAAGGCACTTTTATAACATTCCACTGGTCTCGGAATAAAATTCAAACTCCATAACCCAGTTTACAATTACTCTGCTTGTAACTCCAGGCTTCCC